TTCTGAGTACTGCAGTCTCTACAAGCAGTGCCAGTTCAGAACACAGGTGTGGTAGTGGGAGGCAGTCCCAAAGTGCTGATCTCCCACCAGAGGGAAAACCCTTGCACACCAGCATCACAAGGAAGGAATAGCTGCATCCAAAAGCAGATTCTCAAAATGCTGCCTAGCCAGTGAAGGATCCTTCTTTACCTCCACCCATGGTTCATCCTAAATTGCCACACTAGTCATGCCTTGCCTTTCCCAACCAGCTGGTCCTGCTCCAAGTGCTTAGCCTGTCTAACCAGTCCAAAAACAGGGGTCCCACCCTCAGCATCCTGTCATTTACCAGTGCTCAGGTTGGTGGCCCAGTTTCTCCTTGGCTGGCAGCATTACTGAGTGTTTTTGTTTTCTTGTCACAGCTGGTGATTGGAAACTTTGGGCTGAGCTGGGACCAAGCAGTGACTCAGATGGCAATGTGGGCTATTATGGCAGCTCCCCTCTTCATGTCCAATGACCTGCGGCACATTAGTCCTGAGGCCAAGTGGCTGCTCCAGAACAAAGAGGTGATTGCCATCAACCAGGATCCACTGGGCAAGCAGGGATACCAGATCACCAAGGTACAGCAGGACTGGGCTGGGAGTGCGGTGTGGGGTACAGGCAGACAGCCTCCTCAGAAAGGGAACACTGGAGACACGTGGGGGTATAGAGGAACGCTCAGTTTGGGAACAGGAGCCAGTGAGCTCCCTTGTTCTTGAAGCCTGCTCAAACAGACAGGCATGAAGACTATCAGTTCTGCCTCCTCTAACGTAAGCCCTGGGTTTATTTTTTCCTTGGCAGAACAAGAACTTCGAGCTGTGGGAGCGGCCCCTGTCTGGCCGAGCCTATGCTGTGGCAGTGCTGAACCAGCAGGAGATTGGGGGACCCCGGAACTTCACCTTCTCCCTCACCTTCCTTGGCAATGGGCTGGCCTGCAACCCAGCATGCTCTGTCCAGCAGGTCCTGCCAGTCAGCAGGGACTGGGGGGTTTACAGCTGGGTCTCCTCCCTGAGCGTGGAGGTGAACCCAACAGGCACTGTGCTGCTGAAAGCAGTGCCACTATAGGAGGCACAAAGACAATCTTTTCATAAGCCTCAGCCTCCGCCTAAACTTGTCACAAGAAGCCCGTCTCCTTCCTCCAAGTAGGGTGCCTTTGTTCTCCCCTCAGGCATTCACTACTCAAGTGCTCCTATGTGGACTTTGAACCTTCAGCCTAATGCTGACACATACCATCATCCATCACTAAGAGATAATGGAGAAAGGGGTGCTGCTTCTCTTCTGTTTACCCTTTCTCTGGCATCTCACTTAATTTCTTCTCCAAGGAGCTATGGGGCCCCAGCAGGGCAGCAACTCCTGTTGATGCCCACTGCTGCTACCAACCAAAGAAATGCAGAGGATGCCTGCAGCATCTTTGGCTCTCCATGAGCATTTCAGGGACGACAGGGGAAACACACCCAGGCTGCCCTGCTCTTGCTTTGCCAGGCCAGGGCACGCAGCCCAAGAACAAGAAAAGCTGCTCACTGAGGAAACCCAATGCTCTCCTCAGAGCACAGACATCTACTTCTGCCTTCTGACAACTCAGGGACTGGTCTAATCACTGCACTCCTCAGCAACTGCTTTGACAGCTATCTGCTTAGTTTAAGTGTGGTTAAGTATCATGCCTTAGGACTCAGCTTTTGAGGGTTTCTCCTTACCCCAGGAGACTTTGTTTCACCAGTGGCTCTCACTTTCCTTTAGATGACAATGCCCTCTCCATCCTTCATGGGGCACTGGGATCCTCTTCCTTAGGGAGCCGCCTTCCAGAAATACCTGTGTGCTTGCATTCCACTGCTGGCAGTAGCCTTCAGGTTGAAGTCCTTCTGAGACACAAGATGGATACTTAATCACACAACCATCACGTACAAGTATGTTCTCTTCTGACTACTACACAATCAGGATGCCTTGATTTGTTCTTATTTCTGTGATTAAGCACTTTTGATTAAAGCATCCATTAAAAAGGCTAAGCTCTTTCTTAGTCCACTGCACAGCAGTACAGCATGGTATCTGAAATCAAATCCAGTTTTAGAAAACAGGCCAGCTTGTTCCGGTCACTACGTTGTGAAGTTTGTCATGATTACTACCAACAGCGCTCGGTAAGGTGACACAATGCAGCCATTTGGGCCATCTCACAGGCAGAGGCCGAAGCCACCACTGCCAACAGCTTAAGCAGCAGCAGTTTGGAAACGCCCATCACATCGGCCAGTACTGAATGAGCAAAATTATAGATTCTGTCAGTGTTTACCTGGTAAACTCACACTCCCAGTCCCTATGGAGATGTAAAGGGGCGTTTCTCCATCCACCAGGTCTATTTCTGCTACAAGAAAGTGACTTTCCAGAGAGCACTCACACATTGTGGTCCCAGCACCTGCTGGGACTTCCTACTTACAGGCAGGAAGTGCTGCCTCCAGCGGCTGATCCGTCCAAGCTCAGGGTAGGCTGTGCTGTAATGTACCGTTGTCGCTCACCAGCCTCGGCTGCGGCACCAAGGACACTGTTGCATCTTCCACAGCCAGGAGGAAATGGCCTGCCTTTTGTAGGCAGGGTCTGTACCTTGAGTTAATTAGTTATTCAGCTCAGTCCAGCTGGGTAATAATGATTGGATGCCATAATTCCCCCTTTTTGTTTTACAATTTTTTGTTTTCAAAGGTTTTTTCAAGAAGGCTTTAAGGTGAGCAGAGACCCGGTCCATTCATCCAACTCCAGCACGCTTCCCTCCCGTGAATACCACGTCAGGGCTTGCGGCTTTACCTTCTTCACCGAAGGACTCTCGCTCGGGCTCCCGGCTCCAGCTCTTGGCGAGGGAGTCGGGGCTTCTCAGGGTCTCGATGTATCACGTTGGGGTCACCAGTTGTTGCTCACCAGCCTGGGCTGCAGCACCAAGGACAC